AAAAAAAGGTTCTAGATAGCGAAATCAACAATTGGTATTTTCAGAGTCTTAAACAAATGCAACACACTACTCATTATGGATGATAATATGCAAACATAGTTTTTTAGAAGCTAAGCTAAATGCCCTCAAAGTTTGCGTACTCTGTATGATCTTTGCTTCCCTGCCCACAACCTTTCGATCATTTGGATCCTAAAAATTAGTGAATTTTAAATATTTTTATACTTGGAATATTTATTTATTTACCTATGTCTATCGCATACAGATTTATACCGAGTAAATCTTAATACGGAGTATATGTTATGGAAATTTTACCATATTTCATTTTCCTATGAATTTTAAGGTAAAGTCAAACAAAGAGAAATAACTTTCCTTAACATTGTATTTTCCCTTTCCTAATTGTTTATGGGAACAATGGGCATAAGGGAGATGGGACATAAACTGCTGCAATTTTCCCTCCCTCTAGGGTTTATCAATTCTTATGTTATCAATTTTAGTACATTATGTTTGTGTAATGCTTGCAAGTTTCAGTCCACAGATTTGTATTTCCTGAAAAAGCTCCTCAATTTGAAAGGAAACGATGGGTTCCGAATGAATGAAGTTCTTGTGTCCCTCTGGTACCTAATGGGCGTATGGCCATTAGTTTACAGTATGCTCCTGCTTCCTACCGCTAGAACGTAAGCTTCACCACGTCCCACCATTGCTCTACTTCTTGTCTCACTGTAGATGGTTTTTGTTTCAAAGCCACACTGCATGAAAGGGTCTGTTTGGAATCTGGAAAATGATAGTGAAAGAATATGGGAAGAAAAATAAGGACAATATATTCAAAGTCAATACTCGTACATTGAATATCTGCTTAAATCATTTTATTTGTCTATTTCTATTACTGGGTATATAAAATCTACACACACAAACACACATTTTTTGACAGATCAATCATGTTTCATTTTTTCTAATGTTTTTAGTGTAAAGCTAAATCATTTTGTTAGAGGTTTTTTTTCCTGCATTTTGTTAATCCCCCCCTAGGCCCTAACGGCCAAACATTTTTCCATGACCCAAAGCAAATATATAGAAAACAACTTTCTTTAGTATCTTGTTAAGACAATTACTCCCCCGAAGTCCCAAACACTGGGCTCACCAAAAAGCAATCTTCCCAAAAGCTAACTCAGAAGGAGTTGGTATTAGTGATTTTCTCTCTATGATCCTAACACGAACATTGAACAGGGTTTTAGGCATCCTTGATCAGCTTGGTGTGATCTCATAGTTCCTAAATTTTCCAGGATCCAAACATACTCAAGTTATTGCCTTATAAATTGTCTAAAACTTGCTCTTACTGTGTTCGTGCTACTGTGTTTACGTTCTTTAATTTGTTTGTGCTTCTATGTTTGAGTCGAGAGTCTCTTCGAAACATCTCTCTTTCTGAGTAGGGGTAAGGACTGTATACGCACACCCTCCCCATACTTTACTTTTGGGAATTTATTTGGTTTGTTGTATAGATTCTCTAAGTTTCTTGCTCTCACGGATATAGTTAATATGAGAATTCTTTTCCCAAAGGCAAAGAAACAGGATTCCTGTCTGGCCCTTTCTCATCCTTTCCTTCTTTGGCGGAGTGTATGCTCTCCTTCCTTTCTTTATTCTATGGAAGCCCCCACCTCCACCTGTTGAAGAAACTGAGCTCAGAAGATGGCCTCTGAATTTCCTTGAATCAAAATTAACTGCTGGGGTAATATGGATTTCTCATTCTTAAATTGACAAACTATTTTTCGAATGCAACATAATTATTTATGTTTTTGTTTGTCATGCATCATAACTATGGCAATTAAGGCTCTATTGGCTTCAGGGCTAGGATTAATAGTTTTTGCAGGCATTTCCAATGGGGATGTCTGGAAGGAATTCTACCAGTACATCAGACAGAGCAGATTTGTAAGTTCTGATCCTTTTAGCTTAATCACAAGATTAGAAGAATAACTCACTTCAAATACTTCTTTATCCCCTTTTTTGTGTGTAAATTATTTATTAACATCATTAGTGGTTGAGCTTGCTTTTCTTGTCTCACAGATCCATGTAATGTCGATTGATTTCATTTTACTGTCAGCATTTGCGCCATTTTGGGTTTTCAATGACATGACAACTCGAAAATGGTACGCTCTCTGTTAGGACACTACCGTCTTCGCCTCTCTTTGCAATTCTGCCACCCACATAGTAGAAAATGATGGACCCCGTCCCTAGGGTCCTCTAGGACCGGCTGGACACTTAACTGTGAGGAGATAACCATTTCAACCAAATGGCTTTTCCAAATGGGCTTCTAATGAGATGCATGTCTAACAATCGCAGGTACGACAAGGGCTCCTGGCTTCTTCCTCTATCAGCCATTCCATTATTGGGTCCCGCATTATACCTACTCTTGCGCCCGCCCCTGGTAACGGCAAAGGTCTTATCAAGCTCAAGTCGCGAGACCAAGTAAGCACCACAAAAGAAACTTTTTGTTATCATATGAAGTATGAACTACTGTGGCACAAATTCTTCCCATGATAAGTAATACGAGTGCTATGTTTTATGCTCTATACATGCTCATTTACGGAGTACAAGTTAAAGAATACCATTTCGCACAGTTATTTCTTTGCATATACTTAGATCATGCACACATTTTATACCTGCATAATGCTCGTTTTGTTGCTAAGAACGCTTTCAATCAATGAAAGAAAAAAAATGAAGTGTTCTTAAGCTTGTTTGAATAACTAAATTTTATGAGTAATGGATAGTCAAGTTCTACAAAAAAAGAAGTCCCAATGTTACAAATAATACATCTCATATGTCAATAATAGAGTATCATGCTTATCATATGATTGACACGGTTAGATGACAATTTTTGAGCTTCTCCTTCGTTCAAATGCAATTTTGTGTGTTTGGCAAATCTAATTGTCTCCAAAAGTTTTTCTTGGCAAAGTTATGATTAAATGCTTTAAGCTTCTGCATCATGACTTATGATTTCTGCTTTTTCCCCAATGCTTCAGATAAATTTGTACTCCCATTTATTTCCAAATATTTTTTATTGAGTAATATCTTTCCATTGTCAACTATCCCTTACATATTAACTTATGATGTACTCTTCGCCGCCCAAGAAACTTTTTGCACTTTTTTGAAAAGCTTCTTAATACGCCCTCCGTTCCATAAAACCCTTCCGGTTTTGACTTTGCGGGAAAATAAGGAAAATGTAATTTTGGTTGACTTTCCAATTTTGCCCCTGATGTGATGGAAAAAAGTAAGATGTGATAGTTTGGTTATTAGTTAAAAAGTATGATGTGATAGGTAGGGTATGAAAAAGTAGGGATAAAAGTGGTTTTTTAATTGAAAGTGGAAGTGTTCTGTAGAAAGTAAAAAAACGAAAGAGGAAGAGTTTTGTGGAACGGAGGGAGTATAAATGTATAATATTTCGTGAAAGTAAAATTGTTTAATGTTTTTTCATGCAGAGGATGTATTTTTTTTACAAGGTACTATATTATTCTTGAATTATACTCTTGAATTATACTTCATACCTCCAACAAGCTAAGCAGTGTCCCAAAGATTCTTGTCTGTGAGCGTAGCTTAGCTGGTCGAGATAATAGTGTCGCATGAGATTAATTTGTACAACTGCAAAAAGATGATCACATTAAGAATGAGATACGCTTTGGTGACCGTTCACTAGTCACAGTTAGGGTTAAATTTTTTTCCACTTTGTTAGCTTATTTTTGTTGCTCATTTGATAAAATAACATAGCCTTGTTATTTCTATTTTGTAGATCTTTTGATGTTATTTTATCATATGCAATTTTTTATTTCTAATTTCACGCTATCTTTCATATAAATGACTTGGAAATAATTTTATTCAAATATCGTAACGCGCAATGAAATGATAATTTTTGGACGGTGGGAGTATTATAAACCCTATATAGGGAGTAATAATTAATTAATCGCCCGCATAAATTCGTGGAGGCATAAAATTCTTGGGCTATGGTCAAGCTCTAGGAAACTCCGAGATGCTTAATTGGCGTCTCATATTTAACACACGTGGCATTTTTTATTGAACAAACGAATATTACTTTTATTTTATTTTTAAATAATCTTTAGTAGTACTCAATCTGTCTGAATTTAATATTCTCATTTTGATTTTCATTTTTAAAAAAGGTTTGTTATAGGGTAGATTTTTTTCCAAAATACACTTACTTAAAAGGTGAAAGTGGGTGGCTTGTTGGAGATTATAATGAAAGAGAAGATATTTTTGTCCAAATAAACATGTATTGGAAAATAACAAGAAAATTTGACATCATTTTTGTTAGAGACACTCATAGATACAGAATAATAAAGAGTTCTCTAAATATTTGGGAAAAAAAATTCAAACACTCAAACTCTTGGAAAAAAGTACTCTCCATATCTCAAAATTATAGTCATGGTTTGATTTTTGTAGTCTTTTTTATCACAAATTAAATATTTCGAAGTATAATTTACAGAGTAATAAGTAATGTCATTAAAGTTTGATATATCGAAATTTTATTTTAAAATAACCTCAATTAATTTATATTATAACTAAATACATAATACGGTCTTTCCAAAAAATACTCCTTGCGTCCCGATTTATATTGCACGTTTCGATTTACGATGCTTGGCTAGAATTATTTTTAAATAATTGTATATGACAAATCGTGTAAAATTAAAAAATAAAAATTACTTATTAAAATGCTACATCAAAAGATCTATAAACTAATAGTGACCAGAATATTTTATTTTATCAAATTGCTAACAAAAATAGAGAAAAAAAGTAAATAAAAATTCACTCGTGAATAATAAAAATATGACATTTAATTTGAGACGGTGAGAGTACCAATTATAAAGTATCTTTTTTTTTTATATGTTTTGTTGTTGTGAAAATGACTCGGTAGGACTCAGTTATAAAATGCGGGAGAGGACTTCCTCACATTCTTCTGTTAAACTCTCCTAAACACTGCCTGAAAATTCTGTCCCATAGAAAAACAAAACAAAAAAAAGTCCCAAGAAACGTAACTCCCAAATCTCAGAACGATAATCATAATCTGAAAATCTTCATCAATTTTCAACCCTCCCAATTCATTCAGGTAACTTCAATACCTTGTTCACCCCTCTCTCTTTTCTTTCTTTCTTCCTTTCAATCATTACCCATAATTACATTCTTTGATTTCCTCGTTTCGTTTCTAATTAATGTTTCTTTTTTTGTTTTTGTTCCTTCGAATTTGTATATGTTTCACATTTGTAGTTTCTGGCAATTCATTGAAACCACATTCTTGGGTTTTCTCAGAATCGTATTTTTAGGGCGAATGAATTTATTATGAGGCCATTCAAAGATCAAAATCGTTGGTAATTTCCGGTTTATGATCGGGGAAAAAATGCACAAAAAAAGAAACTTTTGATCATTTATCGACCAGATTCTCTCCCGAGAATGTTTTTGGGGTCATTTTGTCATTATTGAAATGCGCAGGGGATCTTTTTTGTATTTAAAGAAATGCTTCCAAAATCCAATGTGCTCATTCATGTAGATAGTGGAGTGTTTGGCAATGAGCACAATGAAGAATAACCCTTTTTTTATAGTCTCTGGTCCTAAAAATCTTGTGTTTGGATACTCTTTGATTATAAATGGTGTGAAAAATATATTTAATTATTATATAAATTTAATATAATTGCATTTATTTTAAGATACATCAAAGTTTTATATACTTTATTTATTTAGACTATGTTTAATTTGTGGTGTATTAATCTCACTATTTGACTAAAAAAAATCAAAACATGATTTTAGACAGTAAGAGAATAATAGATAAAATGAGCTGTTTGAGTTCATAGTTTAGATAGATTGCTATTACAATTGTTGGAAGAAACAAAATTTGCAAACAATTGTTTGTTTGAAAAGAAGGATAAAATTAGTTGTTGGTTCTAATTCTTCATTGATTGCCCAAAAGAAGAATCAAAACCCAAATGAGCCCATTAGTTTTGTTTTTGACAAGGTTGTGTTTGGCATGTTTTCCACATCTCAGAGGATGTCTGAACAACAGACAGTGGACTATGAACACAACAGCAATGATGAGAAAAGGAAGCTGCTTGTCTCACAGATATGCATGGAGGCAGTGAAGAACTTCCCACCCACCGCAGCTTCAATGCCCTCCTCCCCGACCGGCCACCGGAAAACCTGTCTCTGCTCCCCCACCACCCACCCCGGCTCTTTCCGGTGCCGCTACCACCGCAACTCCAAGCTCACTCGCGCCTCCATGTCCGTCGCCTCCAATCTCTCTGAACTAGGTAGCGCTTCTGTTGCCAGCAAGCTCTCCGAGCTCGCTGCGCGTAAGTAAGGGCCCGGGCCCACCCCCGCCCCTGTTCCCATTGCAGGACAGATGATGGATGATCTTCATCTTCTTCATCTGTTGAAATGCTGCTGTACATTTGAAGAACTATTTTTTTCTTTCACCCTTTTTGTTAATGAATGCTATACATATACACAAAGTTTGTCTTTTTCCCCCTTCTTTTTGAAACTCAAGTTCATTTCTGTAATAATATCATTTGATGCACAGTTGAAACATGAAATGAAGAATTGATAGATACACATATACTCATATCTTCAACATTTTCTTGCTCATAACACTTTGTTACAACAATAAGAAGAGTGTATGTACATAAGCAATGTCATATCGGTCACGCGTGACCCGTCACTCAGAAAGGACGCAACCATTGCATATGAGAGTTACGACGACAACCATTGCAGATGTCTATAATAAAACTCGGGTAATCCCAACATTTTGGGGTTACCCATAACCCCAAGCTTAGCACATACACGCAAACATAGTCACACTATATATGACACCAGGGTTGACACAGGCGGTGTTTCACGGGGAGAGAATCATGCGATTCCTGCAAAGAGGGCAAGTGAAATTCCAGTACTGGAACCACTTCTCGACGCACGCGGTGTGGAAGACGTGGCCACAAGGGAGGCGGTTTATCACGGCGTCAGGTGCAAATTCCGTGAGGCAAACGGAACATTCTTGTTGATGATGGTGTGGCTTGCCGGTGGCGGCACACATGGCATCGTACCGGATCGCCGGAGTTTGGTGGCGGAGCTCCTCCATGTAGGACTCTGACGGGGTTCCACGAACGTCAGATAATGCTGACGTGGTGGCAGAATACTCTTCTTCCCCGAATGCGGCAACTCGGATGCCGATGACTTTGAGGATTGACCGGACTATGTCCTTGACCATGGAGATGGATATGGCGGTGTTCACCAGAATCACGCACAGAACTCCGGCATCGGCCGGGGAAGAATATGGAGATAGACCCATTTACACACCTGCAACCTCCCAACAAACAAACCTCTTTAACTCAGCAATATAGGAGAAAAAATCCTAACACAAAATTTCGAGGCTATATAGGTCTCAAATTCTCACAATTCTACACTGGAAATGGGATTTGGGAGAATCACCAACAGAGCACAAATGAAAGTTTGAAAGATCAAATCTTCAAACAAAGAAAGATTTGTTTTTTTGTACTAGTTTGGAGATCCCTAGCAAAATGAACAGTGGTTCAAGAAAATATTGGGGATCACAACCCTAGATCCACCAATTGAGACATAAAAAGCAATTCTAACAGGCATTCATAGAATCCCATTCTTGTATTTAAAAAGAAACTCACTTTCTTGAGAGTAATTGATAAATTCCATAAATCTTTAATAAAAAAACACATCTTTTATTCAAGACAAATATGAAAAAGAAATGATTTTTATAAAGGGGGGCTGAAAAACAGAGATCCGAATACAGATTATTACACAAACTTTCCATGTGAAGCTCAGCATAAACAAAATTGGGTCTTCACTTCTTTCTGTACTTTTCTTGCTCACAACACAGATGCAAATGAAAGCTCTTTTGTGAACCACAATTTTTTTTTTAGAAAAAAATAATAAAATAATAAAATAAAAAGAAAGGCACAGTGGAAGCAAGTGGTGGGTATGTAGCACTTACAAAGAGTTGGAGCTGCAGAATCTTTTCTCTTGAGCAAGATTCAAGAACTGTTACTATTTCTGGGAAGATGAAGATGAAGAAGATGATGATGATGGAGGTTGAGGGGTTGGAGATTGAGAGGAATCCCAAAAGTAAAGAGACTAGAAAGAGAGAGAGAGTGGGGTCTAATATAAATTATAAAGTACTGATATATTGATTTTAAATAGAAGAAGATGATGCCAAGATTTCCATGACCTCCAAGAGATCACCCCTCATTTCTTCTTATTTTCATGGAAAAATCTATATCATTATCTTGTGGCTCACACGGTTTATATAATTGCTCTCTATTTTTTTTTGACAGAATTGCTCTCAATATTCAATATCTCCTAAAATAGTTATCTTTTTTTGATCACCGTGTAAAATTTTATAATTTTTAATAAGATTATATTTACAAGTTAGTGTAAAAAAAATACTTCGTAAAAACTATATATTTTAAAACTATATGAAAATTTTTATAGAATAAGATATGTTCCAAATGTAATAGTGGCTTCGTCCCTAATCTTTCAACAACGTTTAAAATTTTATGACTTTTAATAAGATTTTTTTTACAAATTAGTGTAGAAATAAAAAAAAATAAAAACTATATATTTTAAAACTACATAAAAAATTTTATAAAATAAGATATGTTCCAAATGTAATACTGGCTTCGTCCCTAAGAGAATTGTCTTCTTTCAACAACGTTTAAAATTTTATGACTTTTAATAAGATTTTTTTACAAATTAGTGTAGAAATAAGATGTGACAAAAATATTTTATTTCACTAAATGATCAATAAATGTTGGATTTTTAGAAGGAAGAATACTACGAAGCAGTGTTTAAAGAAGAACTCGATAGTATAATGAATCGCGTACGAAACGCTATCAGATCAAAGTTATTTCAGGGTATACGAAATACTTCAATCGGATAAGACGTTAATCAAGAACGAGCACTCAAGAATCCGATACTCAACCCATACCACGAGACTCTATTTTATAGAGTCGAAAATCCTTATGATCGGACATGAACGTTCGCGTAGATGTACGCGTACGTTCGCGCGAGGAAGAAGAAAGGTGCGAGTTTGAACGAAAGGTCTTATGCGGTTTAAGGCTCAATTTTGACGTTTATCAATTGTATACGAGTCCTTTACCGTTTTGGACTCCTGCCACGAAAATCTTAAGGATTTTCTTAAAGAAACAACGTCCGAAATAAAAAATTTCCACGCCAGGGGCTCTGCCCCTTGGACCCCGCTACCCGGGGGCTGCCGCCCCCGAACCCCGCAGTGAATTTATAATATCGTTGAACGAGCGCGCACTCCGCGCCTCCTAACTCATTTGACAACGTTTATTTAAATTCTTGTCCGATCGAAGTAAATCCAATTACACAAAATAAATTGATGACACAAAATACCTAAACTACCCCTAAAATAAGTCACTTTTCTTTACCTTATCTTCTCATTCATCATCACCCCTCTTAAAAAGTAATGTCAATTTTGAAAGATAATTCTATTTTTTATTTTCCTTAAATATGTCCAAAAGTCAAAACATGCGATTTAAATTGGGACGGAAGGAGTAAAAATGTTGGAACAACAATGTCATTGATTGAATCTGGAGTAATTATATAAAATGGTACAATTCTGAAAGTAATAGTGCGAATTTTTTTATATTTTTAAAACTCATTCTGGTTTTTACAGATTTTTTTTTAAAAAAAGAAAGTTTGTAAAAAATTTGGTAATGAGGGCTTAAAAATTTATGTACAAATATATTTTATTCAATAGTACAATAAAAAATTAATGAGACACTCTTGGTCACCCCCACAAATTTTGTCTCTATCCCTAGACCCTAGCTGCATGTTCCATGTCGTGTTCATCATAAATCTTTTTATTTTTGTTTTCTATTTTTACGAAATTCTCGTATTATAATTAAAAAAAAACTATACTTACCACTTCTTTCCTACAAAGTACATTTATGTTTATTGTTAATACCCCATCCAGAAGTTATTTTCAAATCATTTTATATGAAAAATGGTGTAAAATTTAAAAATAAAAATTACATATTAAAAAACTATATCGAAAGATCTACAAAACTAGAGATGACATGACGTTATTATTTTATCAAATGGGTGACAAAAATAGGTGAACAAAGTAAATAAAATTTGACTCTGTGAATAGTGAACGGAAAGTTTATTTGTGGACGGAGTAAGTACTTAATAAATAAATTACAATTACTAATCTTCTCCTAAAAATGTCTCTTGAAAATGAAATATTCCCCCGTCAAATTTTGTTTGGTGGTCTCGTTCCATCAGTTCAAGAATGAAAAAAAATTACAATTTTAAAACTTATCTATCTCGAGGTATTTGTCTACTTTTAATTTTTTTTCCGGTCAAAATCAGTATATTTTAATCCCAAACTATGATAAAAAATTTCCACTGCTCTTAGACATACATAATTACATATGATCAATTGTTCAAAAAATATGGGTCCAACATATATTCTTTGGTGAGAATTTAATCCAATCAACTCTGCATTGTACTCCCTCCTTCTGAATTTAATCTTCTCAGTTTTCACGATATCCAATATAAACTCTGATCATTGATATATCTATTTATACATAGATATATTTTATAAAAAAATTAATATATTTCAAAATTACTTTTCAAAAGAAAACTATTGATATTACATTTACGTCGAAACACAATGTATTCATCGAGATCAAAGTTTAGGCACTTCGACAAGTGAAGTATATACATTGCTATCATATGGGCCGAACTCAATTCCATTGCTTCTATTACTGGGCAAGGAGCTTGGACCCTTGCAGCGGAGGTTGAGCCCAAATCTGTGGTGGCACGATCGAGCGATCAAGACCCCTCTGATCCGAGCCCATAAAATATTGACTCGGTATCAAGCCCAATATATCCATCACTCTGTAGTTGTCATCATTGACATTTGTGATTACTTTAATCTTCATTTTTTGGACATCTCATAAAATATTTCTACCACACATTAAATGTCCAAAATACACCTCATTCCTCCTTTATTCTGGGTAAAAATGCTTTTGGATGTCTTTTAGACATTTTAAGAATGGTAGAAGTGTTTTGCAAGATGTGAAAAAAATGAAGGTGGAACTATTTTAAAAAACGGAGGAAGTAATACTCTGTATATATTTTGAATTATATAAAAAGCATACCATATACTATATTTTTTGGGAAGTGATTGTTTTACTAATATCAATGTTTTAATAATATCACTATCCACGAGATCAAACTTTACGGCTTTTTATAAATGGGCTAGGCACGGACATACCCCGTAAATATAATTTCATCATGACACTTAATTTGAAATATTAATTTATCTAAAACAATCTAAAATGTCTTATACTAGGGGCCAGTGAGAGTATATTCAAGTTGATTTGTTGTATTCTTCTATCATATGCACAAATCTAACCACACAAATTCTTTAAAAACAACTTCCTAAAAACAAGCCATATGATCATATAAAACATAGTTATTCTCTTGCACCAAACATAGTTTTGGACTAGCCCATGTCGCAGAATCAGGTTTACTCGTGATAGATACATGGCCCATTCATTCTCTTGAGGCTCTTTCGGAAAACCACTCTATCTTTTATAGGTTGAGGTAAGGTCTGCGTGCACTCATTCCCTCTCCAGACCCTACATGAAAGACTGGGTTTTTGTTTCTTCATTCCTAGGGCTCTGCAATTTAGACTAGTTGTTACCTAGCATACAAACAACAAGAGACTAACTAACCTTGCATAAATTTAGAACCCGGGATTGCTCCTTGTGATCATGCAACAAACTTCAAGCAACGTGTATCCTTGTGTATAGTTTGGCATCGGATTGAACAAAAGCGCATCCCACACTGCACACAAGCATAGGGAGCAGAGAATCCACAAACAGTGCAGAAGTGACGGCGGGTGGTGGAGCTTGGAGGTCCCACAGCAGCTCTCAAGTAGGTCGGGACATGGGGAGGCAAGGACTCCAGGTTTGCCTATCCCAATGAATTATACCCACTTAACGTTTATGATCAAAAATAGATCTCTGCACTTATGTTAGGGACCTCATGGCCTTAAAACACACCTTACCTCATTCAAGAGCTCCATGAATGTCTTTGGAGCCTTCTTATTCTCAAGAGCCTTGGCTTGACGAGTTTTCCTTTTTGTGCCTTTCGGCTGCTTCTTTTGATATACTGCAAAAAATTTCAGGGTACAGATCATTATATTTCAAGACTAAGATAATCCCACTCATCACCACTCACAATCCTTTTTTTCTTCTTAAATTAAAGATGATTTTCTCTATATTTCAAATTCCCAACACTATCTTTGGTTCAAGGAATTGGGAAGGAAAAGAAAAAAATGATTTTCGCTCATTTTTCTTTCACAAAATGGAAGGAATTTTGTTTTGCTAGTACATTTTGCCTTCCACTTTTCTTTTCATTTCCACTCTAACCAAACAAGAAAAATTGTGTTCCATCTCATTTTCTTCTCTTTTCTCTTCCAAATTCCTTGAACCAAATAAAGTGTTACTGCTTTTAGAAAGGAATCCAAGTATTTTGGCCGAGCTTTAGAGCATTTAGAAAAGAAAAAACTGTGCAAGGAAGCAGAAAAACAAATGTAGATAGACCTTGATCCTCATCATCAAGTGAAGCTTCATCATCTTCATCAAGCTGCACGGGTTCCGGCATACCATTGTCACTCTCCAGTGCATCCAAGCGAGCCAGAATCGCCTATGCGAACACCAAAATTGAACTATTTCTAATCAATTCAAGCTCAATCAGTCTCTTCCAATAAAAAAACATAGCTTCGATGTCTTATTTTGGTCTCCAAACTCGAAAAGAATCCCAAATCGGACTTCGTTGCTTGAAATCACTTGCCTGTGTTCTGTTGTCGGTGCTAGCAAGCGCCGCCGCCATCTTCGGAGCAATCTTACGAGACCGCGTCGACATCCGTCGCGCTGAATTCATTGTTTCTTCGTCCATCTCTGCAAGTTGGGAATCCAGATATGCAATAAAATTTAAAGTTTCAAACCATGTCACGCCATTACGAAAAGAAAGTTCAAAAGAACGTGTATGGTTTAAAGCTTCAGTTTCACCAAAAATCCAATCTTTATGTGCCAAACGAATTGAGAAGGAAGGGGACGAAAGCTGTCACAGAAGAAATCCGGCAATAAAATTAGGGTTCGCACATTGGAGTGATTGCGGATTTACGGATTCGGGTAGAACATGGGTCGAGTTCAACTTGGAAAACAAATAACCCAATAACCCCACATAACCACCTCCTAACCCGAGGAGTTAACCAATGGGAGCTGATTGGTGCTGAGCTCCTCCAATAGCGGACCATGCCAAACTCTCTCTAGTGTGGTGATGGCCAAACGCACCCATCTTGTGCTTATGGCCGAGCCCGTCCTTTAGTGTGCTCATGATGGTCGAGGCCGAGCTTGAGAGGGATGAGGCCAATCTTGGAGCCTCACCTTTACTTACTTACTATGGACCTTGTGTGCTCTTTCGAAGCCCATATTATATAGGCCCTGGTTTTAGGCTCGATATCTCCATCAGCACCGTTGGCCAGTGTCAACGGAACCTCGCTCTTTTCTAAACCACGTCAATATTATCAATTTTGATCGATTATGAAGTACTACAAGTATAACTCGAACATTGGAAATGGTCATGACCGGGTATCAGAGCTTCTCTCTGTCACACCAGCTTTGACTTATATAATAATTTCACTAAAAATGAGTTTAAAGCCCCGAAACCTTAAATTGGGGCTTCAAACTTTTTTTAAATATTTAAATACACATTTTGTAAAATTAAATTAATAAGATTTCATTAGTTAATTGAATTCAAACGACAATTAATAATTAAATAAAAAAGTACATTAAATTTAAAAAATTACATTAATAAGAAAACTAAAGCAAATTTTATTTGGTTTTGATCTCGTTTTGTCTCATCTCGAAATATATATGTTTTAAACTTGTTAACATATCAAGATCAATTTCCATTATTTGTGGCTCTTCCTTCACTTGCCTTCGTTTCTTCCTCGATCTTTTCTTCCCTAATAACAAATACTCGAAATTATTCAACCATTGCTCGACCAATATTTTTATGAGAAGAAACATAACCTGACCCTGCAGAACCCAAGGTCAATGGATTTTGCTTTCTTTCTTCCGCTCGGCCGTGGAATGGGGTCCTCGTCATCGGAGTCATCTAGGTTAAAGGATACCATTGTTCTGACGAGCCGATAGTGTCATCGGTCTCAACCTTGGCAGAGGATCTTTTCTTTGACGATTCAGTCTCGGGGTTGTTGAGTTATTGCCATTTCGGTGAATGGCTTAAAATTCTCCAAAGATCAACGGGGACATTGCCTTGGTGTCCGTCATCTTGATATAGAGCGGTAGCTTGCCGCAGAACATCAGCATCGTTCATCTCGCTCTTTCGTGACCGAGAGCATTCCCCATACGCCATCTGACAAAGCGTGACGATGCACTTCTAGACGCTGCTAAAACCGCGCCGGCCTCTCGCATCAAAGCGTTGAGTGAACCAAGCATCTCGCGTTCAATACCGGCGAGTATGCATAAGAACAAAGAACGGCTCAACCAAATTGAGTACTAAAATCTTCTGGTGTGTAAATACACGGAGTATTGAAGAAGTTGTTGAGCAATGATTCGTTGCAGCCGCCCGATCACAATTTCAACGCTCACGCCGGGTCGAGCGTTAGGACGATTCCACTTCCTCTTGTTGGCCTTGTTGCCAGCACTGGTAATAGCTCGTCGCGAAACAAAAAAATGAGAGCTCTTCTTTAATCGTCAGATGATGATAATCCTATTTTTTGAGCGTTTTGTAGAGAGAATTAAGAGAAATATAATATATTTTGGAAGAATTGTAGAGAGAATGAGACTAGGTTGCAAGTGTTTATTATGTTTAAAAGGAGTATTTATAGTATTAACGTAAGAGAGATAACGCCATGATTGGAAGAATAACCGCCTGGCCAACGTCTCAGCTGAGATCCCTTGGTATTTGAGTTCTTAATGCATGTTAGCCTTGTGTGTACCCTCTCATCCCTATGTGTAAAAGGAGTATACATACAAATGTGAGTAGTAATGAGCTATTATATCTATTAATGTGTGTTACGATGTCATTATAAATCATATAAACTCTCTATAAAAATAGATAACACTCATAGTTTAAGTGATAAAATAAGAGTAAAAGATTTTACATTAAATGAGTTGTACTTGTCATTTAAATATACTCCGTATTTTTCTTTGAAAGACATCAACCAATGAGCTATTAAGTTTGTCTAAATTTGAGTTTAATTTGTTTTGAACTTGACTAATATGGATTCTAATCAATTTTTGGGTCTAATTGGTTTATGGTCGAATCAATTTTGGATTTAATCGGTTTTAGGTTTAATCGGTTTGGGTCTAACTGGTTAGGATTGAATCGAAGATTAGGTCTGAATACATTTGATTCGGTTTCCGTTCCGATTATTTTGGGTGTTTGGGGTTAATTCATTCTTCAATCTTCGGGTACTTTTAGATTCGGTTGCACGGTATTTGGTTCGGATTATCGAGNTGTTTAAACTATAAACTTTAAAGCCAGGCTTTAAAACTGCATTTGAAGCTGTGGACGTTAAGCCCATTTTCTGTGCTCGCAGCCTCCAATTTCTTATTGAATGCAGAGAGGGAAGCATTTCTTCAAAACCATCAGGCAAACCTCTCGGTCTCTCTCCACTGCGAATCTGGTATTTCTTCCTCTCCGTTCAATTTCAGCTATCGTTTTTTCCCAGTATGCTCAATTTGTATGCAATTTTGTATTCCGTGTTTACTATATGTACAGATGGAAGAGCGTTACAGCTTCAATCCGAGCTTGCGGTGGAACCCCGAGGTGGAAGACTACTTCACCAAAGCTTATGGAGCTCAACACTTCGCTCGCATCTCCACTGCACTCGCGTATGTACTGTTTTCTGCTCTTCCAATGCATCCGTTTCCACACTTGAGGTCATATTTCCTGATTATGCTGTCATGTTCTGTGTTTGATTCAGGCGGCCTTCATGTTACTCTTGTGTTCGTGTTAATACGCTTAAATCCACAAGTGATTGTGTTATTGAGAAACTTATGAAGATTTTAGGGGAAAGAGGGCATGAAAGTGGTAATGCTAGTGGAATTAAGGTAGATTCAGGGGAACTCTGTGAGGAATTTAGGGGAAGTGCAAATTCCACGCGGCCTCATGTAGAAAGTATCTCAAAATGTCCATTTCCTGGGCTAGACTATGTGCTTTTCATTAAAGGTTCAGGGCCGCATGCTATTGATTATGGGCATGAAAAAGGTAAACCATTGAAAGAAGTGGTTGTGAGTCGAAAATGTGCAGAGGCTGTTCTTCGTGGTGCCCAAGTAGGTATTTGATTTCAGTCATTGTTTTCTATCACATGTTTACTGCATCCATTATGTTCTGTCTTCTGCTGCTACTAAGTGAGATGCACTATCAGTGATCACTCTCTGCAGAATATATGTTCTGTATCCTTCACGAGTTTGAGTAAACTAAAGTTATACTGGACCTTTATTTCTTACAACATTGCATCCTATATCCATCTAGTTCTATAGAGATTTCATTTTATATTTCCTTCTATCCCTTTCCAATTATAGAAATTAGAAAGAAGACATATAGGATTGAAATTTCCATGCATTGAGAGTTTTGGTGAAGGAAAAGCTTCATGTGTTAAAAATCTAATTTTTTTAATTAAAATTAGGACTCAGAAATCAGGATGCTCTATGGCTTGACTTTTGACAATCGTTGTTGGTAATATATTGAGTAATTAAACATGTTAGCAGTGTACATTGTTGTCTATCGATAGCATCTAATGGTGGTTATATTGCTTCTCTGCAGTTTCAGTCTATTAATTTTATTTATGAATATATATGCACAAATTAAGATGAAGTATTACATATTTCCCAAAGGTATGAAATTAGAAAGACACTCATTCTCTCTTTTGTTAATCTACTCGCAGGCATATGTACCTGGTGTATTGGCCTGCACTGCTCACGTCGAGAAAGGGGATGTGGTCGCAGTTTCAGTTGCTGTGGAACAGCCTGATCCTGAAGGCGGATGGGGTATTGGTATGACACGTGGGACTGTCCTGCAAGGATCACAAGCAGGTATAGTACGGAGTAACTACAAGCTCCCTGTATAGGATGACCTTGTTTCTGCTGAATCTTACTAATTTATTTCATATTTTAAAAAATGGTACATGTCCGAACAATGATAATGTTGTTTAATGTGTCTTTCGCCTCAACAACAACAACAACAACAACAACCCAGTTGAATCCCACTACAGTAGGGTCTGGGGAGGGTGTGTGTACGCAGACCTTGCCCCTACTCAGAAGTAGGGAGGCTGTTTCCAAGAGACCCCCGGCTCCACCTGCACAAAAAATATGGTAGGAAACACAGTATAAGACAGATAACACAGATAATGCACCAAGTACAAAGGAATGAAAGTCCTGCAAGCAATAGCTAGAAGCAGCAACAGACCAGTCAAGCCAGGCGTCAAGACACACATAACCTTACTCTGTAAGAAAATAGAGATGTTGTGACTGTAAGACCCTTTATGCATTGTTGCATTTACTACCCAAAACTTCATAGAAAGTAAGAACAAAAGGAAGCTTAATGTGCCCATTCACCCAAAAGCTAAAACAATGCCAATGATGACTGTTTTAGCTTCATTGTCAATAATTACATCTTCTTTAGGTGTACATGTTATTTTTGTTTCCATCACACAAGTTTTTAGCTATCCGGTCATTCTATTCAATTGCATGTCTTCTCATCCTGTCAAATGTATGCTTGTTTGCGACTTGTATTAGTCTCTCTAAATATTACTCCGTAATCCATATGAATCAATTTGCATTTTTCTAATTTTCTGTAACCAATTGTCAATTTGTCACGTGGTTTCAGATCCTCTATATTCGGAAAGAGGTGGACTCTATATTGGTCAAGGAACCGCAATGTTGTCACGAGCCGGGATCTTTCGTGTACCAGGAGGAGTTGCCGTGGATATGCATAATAGAGTGTATGAACTACCCTCCTTCAATGGTATACTTCTCTGTTTATATATATTGCGATAAGCCGATAAGTGTCTGGAGCATTAATGTCATTTCATTTGCATCTTATCTTACCCGTACCTGTTTACACTGTTTTTCTCATGTTAGGCTCTTTAGATTTCAT